GTGTAGCCAGTGGCGTTCTGCGTGAACTTGCCCAATCCACAGTGACTAAAGCAGAGCTCAGTCTGAAAACTAAGCTCTCAATATTCAAGTCAATCTTTATCCCCATATTTACCTACGGTCATGAATCGTGGACCTTCACTGAAAATCTTCGAACTCGGGTGCAAGCTGCTGAAATGGGTTATTTTAGACGAGTCGCTGTCCTTACGCCTCTCGACATGATCCGGAATACTGATATCCGGAAGATCCTTGTATACAGCCTTTGCTTCTCTAGATTGAGAAGTCACAGCTGCGATGGTTTGGCCATATGTTGCGAATGCCTTACAAAAGGAAGGCTAAGCAACTCTTTCTTGAATCCGACAGGCAGAAGGCCCAGGGGATGGCGAAGATTAAACTGGTGGGAAGAGTCTGTTCCAGACTCCAGTTGTCTTCTACCAAAATTCAGACTCTGGCACGAGATCCTGAACGTGGGAAGCACTGTCTGACTCGTCTGCCTCCTCGACCCGTAAAGAGAAACGGTTCTGGAAGACATTGATTCCTGTATAAAAGACTCCACTATGATTTTAACTTAACGAGGTTTTGACTTATGATTTTTTGGCCGGATACTATTAGAGTAGTTGACATATACTGATGGAATAACGAAAGGAACGAAGATAAGTTGAGGACAAAGACAGAAGACGAAGAAAACTAATGGCTGCTTAAAGACATAACCGTAACTCAGAAAACCGTCAGTGATTGATAAGGAACGGAAAAGCAGTATGAAAAGAATGATAGTCAGGAAGGAAAGGAGAAGGCCAAAAAATAGAGAAAATCCTCTGAATTTTGATTAAGTCACTCAGATGGTATTTTGTTGTTTTCGCTATGGTAATGCATTTCTTTTTGGTCAGCAGAAAATTATATCTTCTTGTGTATTTTATCACATTCTTTTGATCATTGAAGTGTTGCATGAAAGGCAATTTCTAATTTTGAATTTCAGTTTGTTAATAACGCCTATGAGCAGCTGACCGGTTGCAGTCGCAAGGAAGTGCTGGGCACAGAGTCGAGCGATCTCAGGAGAAAGTCTCTGCCAAAGAATAAATTGAAGGTTTGTTCACATTTCGAACTTGATTCATATTTATTCGACTGCTTTGTTGCAGCTCACCAATCAGGATTCAAAATCAAGCGCCTCTGAGTGGAAATTCGTCCCTGCCGATCAGCACTTAGAAAATTACCTGCTGGGGTAGAGTGTTCTTATGTTTTCAGTTGGTAACATTATGAATAAATTTAGTTTGCAAAATGTTAGTAGTACCAAAAGACAAATAGCACTTGATATTAATGGATATTTGTGCAAGTTCAACTCGTGTCTGAAGTTTCTACCGCGAAAGCGAGCATTTGCTTTACAACAGTGTACGCAGAACAATTTAGAATTTTGTTTCAGACTGTTTAAAGTGAGTGAAAAGCGAAACGAATCAACTTATGCATTTCACTGATTTAATAGTCTTCGACATTGAGCCGTTTGGTGAACTTTTCTGAATTAAGACTGTTGGTAATTTATAATTGCAGTTATCTGACAAGGGATTAGTCTGTTGTTGCTGTGCGAAGTGATTTCAACAAGTTCACGCATTCCAGGCATCCCATAATCTATTTAAACGGGAATATATACCAATTATGTATCCATTACGCCAGTATTTGTAAAAAGGGGCTGCTATGGTTCCTGTTCTGAACAAACTTGAAGACATCGTTTTGCCTTAAGAATAAAATCATTACTTTGACACTTGACCCATTGGACGAAACATTAAAGACAAAGACGATCTAATCGTGTGGCAGCATACACTGGCAGTATAAACATGATTCACGAGAATGGCTCATAATCAGAGGATATGGTGGCAAAGTATAACCCATGGCGCCTACCATAACAGAGGATGGTAAATGATGATTATTATTATGAAGTTGGTCGCGTTGGTAGTTGTGATTATGATGATAAAAATTATAATAATATTGGTTGCCATAAAGATTACAGTGATGATGGTGGTAATGGAATGGTGGTGATGATAATGACGATAGTGAGTGTAACTGTGATGAAGGTGATGATGATGATGATAATGGTATTGAAGCTGGTTTCTTTCTCCTTAAGTGTGTATTTATAACTCTGGGTGATCTGTCTAACTACTGTGTCTATCTTGAGTAAATTCCAATAAAATGAATAATTAATCGTTTTTCCTTCTTTTCTAATTTTTTATGTGAATGTAGACGGATGCTAAAGAAGGACTTCAAGATCTTCTGATTGCGATAATT